AGAGAGAGAGAGAGAGAGAGAGAGAGAGATGTGCATATGCCAAATCACCCATCCACCCCCAAAGTACTATTGCCTAAGAAATGTAGCTCTCTTTTAAGAAGCAGTTGGAATATTTAAAGTTTGTTATCTGGCCAAGGAAGATGGAAGTTGCTCTACCAATGAGTTCTGGAGACATAGGGTTCTGCTTGGAGCCCAGCTCCAGGAACTCTCACTTTGCCTTCAGCAAATAGTAGTTGAGAACTAAACATGCATCTGACATTTTGATATGTATCAGTAGAGTGGGCAGAAATATATGAACTTGTTTTAATTAAGCAAAAAATAATGCGATTTAGTTCTCTTTCCACATCTCAGACTCTTGTTGATCAGCTGGAAACAGTAACTTTAAGAAAAAAAGAATTATGCCTAAAATCAGCAGAGTTGGATGGACAGTATTGTGATTCTTTTGCTCTGGCGATATGCCATTTTGGTATGGTAGAGAAGTCAGAGAAAGTTCACCAAATATAAAAAGAAGGCACCTGTAGAGAGTGCCACACAAAGAGAACAAGAAGCCATTATCTGATTGTCCTACCTGTTGACCAGATAGTCCCAATTGAGTTGTATCCAGTTCCAGGCCATGCTCTTCCCGTAGCTGTTGTATGAGATGTAGCGAATGACTGTAAACACATCCTGACTTTTAATAATATCTGGGTCTTTGAGCATGTCCAGATACCTAAGTGAAGGCAGAAGAAAACTTCTTCAAAATGAAGTAGGAATGTAAGCTATCATCTAAATTTTAGGTCCACACAGCTTTCATCCCAGCAGCTCAATTCTTGAGTACTAACTGACAAAATGAATTAAGTATGACAAATAGAAAAAGAAGTTTTTATGAAATTAGTTTATCTAGCTGTTTTTTAAAGAACTGATGTAAGTCTAATAATTTTAAGCTAGGTAATGTTAAATATGTTAAATATTAAAACTATTATTGAAAATTAAACTAATTCTAAATTTAAATTATTTTGGAAGCACCAAAACAACTCAAACTAAATTTTAGTGATTACTCTAATAAATGAGCATTTATTGAATTGAATACACATACTTACTTGTCTATTATTCCACTGAATTTAAAAAAGTGTATGTTAAAAAAAACTTTAGGTCTTATTCTATAGGTCAGATCTTAAACTTGGCTTGCTAATGTAAGCTACATGGTTAGATTAGCTAGCTATAGTTATAGTGTAATACAAATAAGTTCAGGATGAATTAAAGAACAGATGGGTAGATGTCCCTCAATGTTATACTGCGGTGTTAACTAGAGTTGACCTTCTAAGTCCCTATTGCTATTGGAATTATTTCTATCTGAATGCATCACATACTTTGTTTACTATGAGAATGGCACCTAAAAAAACCTATATCAGACATATTTTCATAATCTGCTTGTCTTGATCCAGGGCTTCCTACCTGCTGGCTTGGACCATTCCTATTTTTAGGGGAGATTAAGGGTTAATAACTACCAAAAAGGATCACTGTTCAACTTGAGATGTTAGGTAGATTAGAGAGATACATCCTTCATCAAAGAGGAAAGAAACATAGATTTTTACATTTCTAAGCATATCAACATCAGGCACACTTAATATTGGGGTCTACATATAAAGTGGAGTTGTCCCAAAGATCTGGAGTTGAAGGCCTGGTCCCCAGTTGGTAACATATTAGAAATAATTGGATCATGATGGTGCTGTCTTCATCAATGGATTGTTCCATTGTAAAGAATGCCTAACTCAATAAGCTGGGAAGAGGTCCTGCTTAATTGAAGCAAGTAGATCACTTTGAGGAGTGTATGTTGTCAGCTTCCTTCTCTGCTTCTCCCTGTTTCCTGGCTGCCATGTGGTGAGCAGCCTCCTTCTCTTTACTCTTCTACTGCCATGTTTGCTCTTTCTGTCAGGCCTAAGAGCATTGGAACATGAACTCAGATCTCTGAGACATAAGCCAGAATTAACCTTTCCCTACTTTAAGTTGTTTTCTTGGGTTTTCTAGCACTGTGATAGAAAAGGAAGACATTTGACCCCAGAAATTTACCATTAGCAACACTGGAGAAAACTCAGGCTTTAAGTTAAACTCATACGCTGTGGGACATTGGAATAAATTACCATATCCTTTCATTCTTCAGGGGAAGGTTCTGTCGATCAATATCTAACTTTGTGAAATTCCCATTTGTGGAATGGAAGCACAACAGTATGTCATAGGCAAGATGAGGTGACTAGAGTAACTGATTTAAGGAACACCCATGCTGCTTTGGCTTGTTGGCTGTGCGGGTGGGGTGGGGGAGACCCTAGACATATCTTCAGTCTCAAAAAGAAATGTGTGGGGACTCTGAAAAAGCCTCAGGGCAAACAAGTGTTACACAGCACAGTAATTCAGGAGTGGAAGACATGACTGTGACCACAGCGTTCATCTCCACAAGACAGCATTCTAGAAGGTAAGATGTGACCAGATAAAACCCAACAGACTTTGGCCCAGGACCAAAATAGGTAAATACCTTAGGGAATTGAAATATAGCATCCCTTTCTCCATCACTACAAAAGGACACACGACTTCCTTATATAAAAGGAAAAGGTGCAAGGGAGGAAACTATGGGACACTTACTTTAATATACTACATGGACTGGGGTTTGCATTTAACAACTTATTTAAAAACCAGACTTTCAGATGGACACAGCCAGTGTCAATGGTTCCTCATTGTACTGGCTTATAGAACCAATAGGCTAGAAAACAAAGGTGGCCACCTTTTTAAGCACTTGCAGTTGTACAGATAAACCTAATTCCATGTGAAATATAGCACATTTATCATATGCTTTGGATAAGCAAGAATTCCAAGGGACCCCTCACTTCACCCCAAACTTGCCACCAAACCTCCTTGAGTTATGGTCATCACTTAAGTTCTGGAAGACTCTGTAGATGCTTGGATTTATCTGTCTCAAATATGAATATTGCTTCAAATTCACAGCTCATAAAGACCACTAGCCATAAAAACCACTTTCTATGGCAGATGGTGCAATGTGGAGCAACTTGTCTTTCACAACAAATGTCTTAGAGGAATATTTTGTCACACTAGGCCATTGCAATTCAAGAAAATATACTTATGTGGTAGGCCCTGAAGGCTTGTGTGTGTGCGTGTGTTGTATATGTGTGTGTGAGTGTGTATAATTTTTCTTCTATACCTGCATCCGCAAGAGTCTTCTCTAAAACATCTAAAGTAGTTGCTCAATTCTTTAACAAATATAATTAGCACATGCCATCTAGTGTAATGATTTGACATGTGTCAAGATGACTCTGGTCTCTATTTAATCTAAACCAATTTTGTTTTATTTATTTTAATTTTTTTTATTATTTTATGTGTATGGACATCTTTGCATGTGTGTCCGTGCCTCACTTGAGATCCTGGTGCCCCCAGAGGCCAGAAGAGGGCATCAGTTCCCCTGGGACTGGAGTTAACAGGCAGTTGTGACTCACTATGTAGTTTCTGGGAATCAAACTAGGGTCCTCTGAAAGAGCAGCCAGTGCTTCTAACTGCTGAGCCATCTCTCCAGTCTCCCAAATTTATTTTAAATTACCCATTAACATGGCAGTCCTGGTGGGAAGCAGAGGCAGGAAGATTGCCTTAATGTTAATCTACAGGGCCACATAGTGAGACCTTGTCTAAAAACAAATTTTAAAAGGAATACATGTTAACATTAGAAAATTTGCCTGGCATGGGCAAAGCATTGTTTGGATTTAACCCCCAGCACCACAAAGCAAAGAGAAAGAGCTTGCCTTGACAGAAGAGTAACATTCTTCACAGAAGCTAGCCCATAGAGCAGTTTTTCTTTTTCTTGTGCTAGGGATGTTTTCTGGTATTGGTCTAGAGTATAGTTCCATGAAGTCTCATTACCAGAGTTCTGCATGCCATAGCGGTAGGCCAGAAGCCTGAGATTTACAGGAATGCTGCAAGAAGAAATAAAGTTTTAGGAATTTCATGTGTTAACTCACAACTCTGTTAAAATCTTCTAGACAGACAAACAACACAAATAGTCACTTTTCGTTCTTTTGGAGCCAGTTATCAAATAACTGGGAAGCGTTGTTCAAGGCTTCTCTGTCTCCCATCTTGCATGCAAATCCTAACACAGAGGCACGGAGTAACCTTAAAAAACAAAGGAGCACAGAGCCACAGCCTTAGCAACTTTTCATCATATTTTAAAACACAAACACACAAATGTTAAATGAACATTAGTTTTTAAAAGGTAAGAAATAACTTTTCAATGTGGGTTCCGTTATCCTGCCATCCCAGAGAATCCGCAATGGGCTTCACTCGACCTTGGAAGTACGTCTGAAATAGAAGCAGAGTAAGAACTTGTCATTTGTCTGTCTCTTGTGTCACCTAGAATCCCCATTGTAATCTTTGCCATACTAGTTTTCAGAAGTTTGGGCCAGCGCTTAGAAAAAGAAGGTGGTCACATTTTATAATGCTGAGTTTTCCTTCAGTCCTAAACATAGAAACCACTCTAGATCTTTCTTCAATGTTTTCTAAAAATGCTGACTGAGCTTTGTTGCTTTGATTGTCAACTTGACATAACCTAGAATCACCCAAAAACGGATTCTCAGTGGGAAAGTGTCTAGATCTGGTAAGTCTATGGGGATTTGTCTTGATTCCATTATTTGATGCAGAATGACCCAGGCCACCATGGTTGGCACCATTCCCTAGCAAGGGGATTCTAGGGTAAGGGTGGAGAAAGTAAGCTGGGCAGTCACAAGCATGCATTAGTTATTTGCTCTCTGCTCTTAACTGTTGATGTAAAGGGACCAGCTGTTTTAAGTCCCTGTCACCCTGACTTCCCAGCAACGGACTGTGTTATAGTTTGAATGTAATTGGCCTGCATAATCTCACAATGTCTCTCTTAGGAGGTGTGGCCTTGGAGGAAGTGTGTCACTGTGGAGGCAGGCTTTGAGTTCTCATATATGTTCAAGATACCACCCAGTGACACAGTCTACTTCCTGTTGCCTTCTGATCAAGATGTAGCCAGCACCATATCTGCCTTGTGCCCCAGCATTATGAAAATGAACTGAACCTCTGAACTAAGCGGTCACCTCAATTAAATGTTTTCCTTTGTGAGAGTTGTTGAGGTCATGGTGTCTCTTCGCAGCACAGAAATCCTGTCTAAGAGACTGTAACCTGTAATTGTGTACTAAATAAACCCTCTCCTTTAAATTGATTTTATCAGGGTATTTTTATCACAGCAACAGGAAAAGAAAAAACAACTATTTCTTCATTATAGTATAAGTAGAAAAACACCTCACACACTTCTGATACTAAGATGACTGTTTAAGCATTGATGTTATATTAAAAAATGACAGCTATTTAGATTTACAAAGACCATTTAGGGGGCCTCTCTATCCCATTACCACATGAAAGCAAGTAGCAAGTACTAACATTCCTATTTCACAAATAAAACTTACACTTACAAATATCAAATCATTTTTCCAAAGGTCTTTCATTTAATATACAAAATTGCCAGATTTGGGCCCAGAATCTGTTTAAAATTGTAAGCAGCCTGCCCAAGTGTTATTGAAATAACAAAGAAAAGGTAAACAGAAATGATAGACTTAAAACAAAATCCCAATGTGGAGGTGAGAGTAAGAAAATATAATATTCTTATTTTGTTATACTTTGTTAAGAATAAACTTATTTTTAGCAGCTAAATCCATTTTAAAGTAGGTTCTAGTTTGCAGTTTAAAATACTATAAATTTAAATAAAATAGTCATTCATTTTGATACTAAAATGGATACCTTTTTGAGATATACTGAAACACAAATATGAAACACTTCAAAGTGGAAAAGATCAGACAGTCTGTCTGCTTTGATGAGTCAAGTCCTCGAACATCTCTTGATTTCATGTGATGGACAGATATCCCTCAAGGGCTCCTTCCGTAGAAGCCCCCCCCTCCCAGTCTACTGGACATTTGCATTTGTGGTATGCTCATAGCATTAGCATCACCTCTATCATGGGGTACAGCTCTCTGTCATCTTCAAACATGCTGATGATGTAGGTTAGAGCTGAGATGGCTCTCTGCCATGGCAAGAAATCCTCTTCTGATTTGAGATAACTGGTCAAATTCAGAGCTTTCCCATAATTCAGAAGTTGAGCTCTGTGAGAGAAAACAAATAGAACAATGTATTGAAAACTGGACTTTCAATTAAAAGGACCAGCATAGTGACTCTAGCATCTCATGTTAGTGACAATTCTCCTAAACAATTAAAAAAAAAACTGAACTTAGGAGCTGAAGAGATGATTTAGTTGTTACAAGCAATTTTTATTTTTGCAGACAACCAAAGTTCTCAGCATCTCTGTCAGGAGGGTCACACCTGTTTATAATACTAGCTCTAGAGGATCAGATGCCCTCTTCTGTCCTCTGTGGGCTTCCCCCAATATCTATATCTATATCTATATCTATATCTATATCTATATCTATATCTATATCTATATCTATATCTATATCTATATCTATATCTATATCTATATCTATATCTATATCTAAGCTGAGTGATGGAGTACTTCCCTGATGGCATCACAAAAAAATATGGAAAAGTATTTCTGAAAGTTTGGTTTAGATACATTTGAGAAGAACCTTGTCCTCAAAATTGCCCTTAACATTTTGAATGTTGACACACAGAAAATGCTACTCTCAATCTTAACCAGAGAAGTCTCTCTACATGGCCACCAGTGGTGAATAAAGAAGAAGCATGGCTGCTTTAGGAGCTGAGATTAAGTGATGGTTGAATGTGCAGCCCTAAGTTAGACATTCCTACCTCTCCCTGTGAGGTTCAGGAGCATTGCTGAAAAGGTCCAACTCAGGAGAGCTTTGGAAAACACATCTTTGCTGTTAATAAGCCAAGGTGGCTGCACTTTGGTCAAGTAATAGAATCTGATGAGAACTTGTAAGGAAGATAATCTTTTATGTTCCATCTACCTATTCTCTCATTTATTTCTTAACGATAGTTTTATGTAGTCACCTCTAGTTTTCTGTAAGGATTTTGATCCAGACCAGGGTTAAAAGGTTACTTCAATTTCTACAGAACCAGAATTTCAGTCAGGTTCAAAGCCTATAACCCTTTGAAAAATGTCAACATTTTTGGACTTCCGATGTCATCTAAGGAATCCATGTAAAATGTAAAATGCTTCAACTACTAACCATCAGTCTAGCCATGAATTAGATTGGTTAGTAGTTATTAAACAATAATTCTAAGTAACAGTCACATGTTAGTTTGGATGGCCATAATGATAGAGGATTTCTTGGGCAGTATGTATACTAACAAGCAATGATGATACAGTACTGTGGAAAAAAAAATTAGGCACCTAAGAATAATGCCCAATTCAGGCAAAGGAGGTAGAAAACACTTCCTAAGGAATCCACATCTACCCTCATGCTTAGAAAGACTACTGAAAAACATAGAAATCAAATGAGCTGTGTATCTAGCTCCTGTAGAGGGTCAGTATGGTGTCATCTTGCTTAGCTAGCGAACTTGTGGTGGCCACACCCTATAGGCGTGGCTTCAGGTGAGCAGCCATGACCCCTTATAAGGTAGAGGAGGGGTTGGCTTACTCATGGGTTGCAGTGAGAGCATTGGAAGGGCAGAGACTGCATCTCCTGGAGCAGGAAGACTGTGGCAGTTATTTACTATTATTTGTGTAATGCTTCCCTAATAAATACCTGTTTATCATTTATCTTGGGTCTGGTGGACTCACTTAAATCCCCCCTTCAGATCAGAAAAAAATATCAACATGTGCCATAGTCACTGTCCCTCTGTTCCCCAATAGATTGCTTCTTCCTCTAAGTTCAGATTACTCCCAGATCATGAAACAAAAAAGTCAAATTTTCAAAATAGTTCCAAAACGCTAACCAGTTTGAGAGGACTGTGGCTTATTCTTCTTGTCCCAAAGACTTAGACAAAAACTCATAATTCTAGTTAAAAGATCTAACAGTAAGTTTGGACTCACAAAACTGAAACACTGGGAATTTGTTAAATCAAGTTATGAAGGGATATTTTAAAACTGTGTCATTTACATTTTACTTGCTTATTTTTAGGGTGATGGTCCTATCACTGTGCATATGTGAAGGTCAGAGAACAGTATATCAGAATTATTTCTCTCCTATCACGTGGGTCCTGAGGCCCAAAATCAGGTCATCAGGCATGGCAGAAGCCACCTCTACCCTTTGAGCAATCTTATCAGTCTAAGATGCAATTTTGATCATTTTAAAATACCACTAATTAAGTCAAGGACCCTGATATGGAGTATATCACATCCCATGCCAGCAGGAAAGAAGGCAGAGGGGGGAAGTTTGTATGTCTATGGATAGCTTATATGTGAATTCCTTTAAAAGAGGGCCAAAAATAACAATAATGATTAAAATACAGACTTCGGATGTTTTCAATTAAAATAAAAACTGATACCTAAATGTAGTTGTAATTAATTTTAAAGATGTATAGGAAAACTCATGGTATTTTAAATGGACCAGCCACTTGTCAAGACATACCTTGCCAAAGCAAATGCATCATCAATAAAACTTGTACGGTCAGCAGTGGAGAAGTTCTGAAAGAGGAAGGAAAAAACCAAAAGCCATGATTCTCAAAAGAGCACTGCAAAAAATTAGTATCTTTAAAATGCTGTTCTTGGAACAAAACTACAATAATTCATAACCACACTGTCTCTTACCAAGTGGTTTGAGGACAGAGTCTCGGCTATCCGGTCCCAAGTTTCTGCTTCATAATTTACACGATAAAACCCAATGTGATCTGGGTTTATTTTGAGAAAAACATCTCCACCAAGACCAGAATTCAAAGTGATTCCTGTGGTAGTAAATAAACACTAATGAGAAACATGTTTGCATACACTGTAAACACAGAAATTAGACCCAGAGGGCAAAAGGAAAGAAAAGCAATATTAGCTCAACGAGTAGAGTTTGATTTGGACCCAAAGCCCCTAAGCCTAATTCTTATTTAGTTGCCTAACTTTAGAATGTCACCAGAGTGAGCAAGATGAACAAGAAATAAGCAATGTCAACAAGCATCTCACCATTTGTAACTTACACTCCTCCCTGGCAGAAGCATGTCACACGAGTACAATAACCCTAAGTTGGTCAGTCCTTCAGTAAAGAAAATAATGCCCAAGGACAGAGAAATCCATGCCTCCTAGGAGGAGCCCATACATTCCCAAGTGTAATGGATAAAATATGCAAAAGTTATTCACTAGGACAGCCTGCAGAAGGGCTGAGAGGCAAACATTTAAAGAACACCTTCTCTAAATCATCTCAGAAGCTATTGGTATATGTTCATAATTTCAGCTATTCGTGGGGCTGAGACAGATTATAGGCTTACCTGGACTACAGTGAGTTCAAAGCGAGTCTGAGCAACCTAGTGAGACCTTGCCTCAAAATCAAATTAAAACAGGTCTTGGGATGCAGACCAGTGGTGTAGCACTTGCCTAGCAGGGAGGAGCCCCTGAGTCATATCGCCAGAACAAAAACATCCAGATTATAGTTAGTGGAAATAACCATCGCTAAGTAGAAGAGTAGCGTGAGAATCATGACATGTTTAAGGTGTCAGGATGTGCTGAAATTGACTTGGAACCCAAATACAATGTTCAGATTATAGTTAGTGGAAATAACCATCACTAAGCAGAAGAGTAGCGTGAGAATCATGACATATTTAAGGTGTCAGGATGTGCTGAAATTGACTTGGAACCCAAATACAATGTTCTTACTTGGCAATTCACTTCCTACTTGTACTTTCAATTTTATTTGTCTTCGCAAGGTCATCTATGTCCTTATCTCAATTGACAATAATAGTGCTTTTTTATCAGTGGAGTTAGCAAATTAACTTTCCTACCAAAGTACCATCCAATACACACACAAGGTTCCAGCATCAAGCTTTTAGAAGCCCAATGCTGAAGAGACAGAGACCTAAATTTTAGGTCAAACGTACTCCTTAAAAGTAATAGCTGTACTCGGGAGGCAGAGGCAGGCAGATCTCTGTGAGTTCAAGGCCAGCCTGGTCTACAGAGAAAGTGCCAGGATAGTGTCCAAAGCCACACAGAGAAACCCTGTCTCAAAAAAAAAGTAATAGCTGTGCTCAGATACCACAAGTATTTGTCAGCATTACTTCTACACTTTTCCATTAGTGTATATTTTGTCTGCATTCAAATAATGGTGTGGGGACTTAGACTATGTGAGAGATTTCCAGGAGTTTAATATAGTTTAGGAAATAGTACTGGAAAATAGCAGATGAGGCTGGCAAGGGAGACCAGTGTTCATGGCATGTGCCATGTGAAAGATTTCATCCTTTGAGAGGGAAAAACACAGAGAAGACTGTCAAACAAGGAAATAACATGCCTAAGTCTATTTTCTAGAAAAAGTAATTTTTGACAGGGATATGGAAGATATTCTGGATTAGATTCTAAAAGCAGGAAGACCAACTTCAAACTCAGCTGTAATATTCTAGGACAAAGATCTTTTCCCAAATTCCCAAGCTGTCATTTTGTCTTATTGACTCTGTCCTTTGACTTACAGAAACTTCTCAGTTTGGGGTGGTCCCATTTATTCATTGTTGCTCTCAGTGTCTGTGTTACTGGTGTTATATTTAGGAAGTGGTCTCCTGTGCCAATGAGTTCAAGGCTACTTTCCACTTTCTCTTCTATGATGTTCAGTCTATTTGTTTTTTTGTTGAGGTCTTTGATCCATTTGGACTTGAGTTTTGTTTGACAGAGGACTTATCTCCAAAATATGCAAAGAACTCAAGAAACTAGACATCAAAAGACCAAATAATCCAATAAAAATGGGGTTCAGAACTAAACAGAGAATTCTCAACAGAGGAATCTCAAATGGCCCAAAGATACTTAAAGAAATGCTCAGCATCCTTAGCCTTCAGAGAAATGCAAATCAAAACAACTATGCAATACCATTTTACACTGGTCAGAATGGCCGAGATCAAAAAAAAAAACAAACAAAAAAACAAAACAACAACAACAAAAAAAAAACAACAACTCTGATGACAGCTTATGCTTGTGCTGGAGAGGATAAAAAAAAACAAACAAACAAACAAAAAAACAACAACAACAAAAAAAAACAACAACTCTGATGACAGCTTATGCTTGTGCTGGAGAGGATGTGGAGTAAGGGGAAAACTCCTCCATTGCTGGTGGGAGTGCAAACTTGTACAGTCACTGTAGAAATCAGTATGGCAGTTTCTCAGAAAATTGGGAATCAGTCTACCTCAAGACCCAGCAATACCACCATATACCCAAAGGATAACCAATCATACTACAAGGACATTTGCTCAGCTGTGTTCATAGCAGCATTATTTATAATAGCCAGAACATGGAAACAACCTAGATGACCCAACCAAAGAATGGATAAGGAAAATGTGGTACATTTACACAATGGAGTCCTAGTCAGCAGTAAAAACCAATGACATCTTGAAATTTGCAGCCAAACGGATGGAAAGACATCCTGAGTGAGGTAACCCAGATCGAGAAAGACAAATATAACATATTCTCACTCATAAGTGGATATTAGACATGAAACAAAGGACAATTAGCCTACAAGCCACAAACCCAGAGAACCTAGGTAACAAAGAGGACCCTAAGAGAGACATACATGGATCCACCTAGGAAGGGAGAGAAGACACAACCTGCTAAGTAAATTGGGAGTGTTGGGGAAAGGGGATGGGGCGGGTGGAAGAGGAAATGGGAGGAGGGAAGGGGAGTGGGGAAAATGTTTAGCTCAATAAAAACAAATAAGCAAAAAAGAAATTAGCTGATTTCTCAATGACTTAAAAAAAAAAAAAACTAGGACAAAAAGGGTGAGAACTTGGACTGATGCGGCCACAATGAGAAGAGCAGAATCATGTTAGAGAGAAAGCCGGCACAGCCCTCCTTCTGCCTAGAGGAGGGGCAAAGCCTCGCACAGTGAGGTGAGTGATGATGCTGCAGTCAGAGAGGAGAGGAAGGCAAGTTTGGGAGGAAAGATGATTTAAATTTTGGAAGCATTTGCAAGGTCTGGAAGACATCCAGGACACAGTAGTTTTTCATTGTATATAAGTAAATTCTTCAGCAAGACAATAAGTTTCCTTAGGAACCTTTGGAGCAGGTACTTGACAGATTATAAACCCTTACCTCACTCGTGCAGTGTTCATCTTTCTTTGTCATTTGGCCATGAAGAAGTTGTTGAAAGAAGCTAATCTTTTGGCAACCTCACTCTTTGAATGTTTGTACTGGGAGGAGAGTTTCTTGCTCAGGGTAAAGCCATATGTTACTGAAGATAGAACAGGAACTTCTAAGTTTGACAGACCTGGGATAAAATCCTTTCTGTGAGACTGGCAAGCTGTGTAACTCTGGCCAAATCACTTGACCTCTCTGTGTTACAATTTACCAGGAGGAAAACGGGGATCAAAATCCCTCTCGGGGCTGTTGTGAAGATTAAGTAAGATAACGCACATAAAGCAGGGTCACATCGTTAGGTGTTATGTGACCAACAGATGGTAGCTGTCCCCATTATTATGAAACGGGATAGGCCGCCTGGTCTAGAAATAGCCAAGCAAATATAAATAACATTGAGAAGTTCCTGGCAATCCATCTAAATACTGCAGTAATTTACTGTGCTTTCCATGTGCCCGGCTAAGCCTGTCTAATGTTACCGTGATTTTTCTCACTTTATGGATGAGGAAGTTGAGACCCAGGAAGTCAGTAGTTAAGGACTTTCCAAGTTCATGCTACTTTGAGAACAGTTGACAACAGCAAGCAGTAGGGCTGTTCCATGACGTGGCGAAGCAAGCAGAGACGAACAACCAAGGCCTGCTTATGGGTAGAAGAGAGTGCAGCTGTTTGTAGTCTTTTTAATGATTAGAACACCAGCGTGTGTGCTTTACAGAATCCCTGGGAAATAAAGTATAAAGAATGCCTGGCATATGCCAGGCAGGGTGGCACATGCCTGAACTGTATATAATTCCAGCACTCAAGAGGCTGAGGCAGGAGGATTGCTGCAAGTTTGAGGTCAATCTGTGCTGCAGAAACAATTTAAAAAAAAAAAAAGTACATAGTAATATAAAAGTTACTCATCCAAGGCCGGGCAGTGGTGGTGCATGCCTTTAATCCCAGCACTCAGGAGGCAGAGGCAGGCGGATCTCTGAGTTCGAGGCCAGCCTGGTCTGGAGAGCGAGTGCCAGGACTGCTTACAAAGCTACAGAAAAATCCTGTCTCGAAAAACCAAAAAAAAAAAAAAAAAAAAAAAAAGTTAACTCATCCATCTTTAAGTTTCTTTGTGTGTTCATGTGGGAGGAACTTCCATGTGTATACACAAGCAAACACAAACAGGCACGATGACACCCTACCTACTCTTTCTATGATTAGTAATCTTGGCCATTTCAAATTATTCTCCGAAGCCTTACTTTATATTTTGAAAATGGATGTATAATGACCACAGGGGAGTCTTATCACCCACTTTTATAAATGATTCCATGCTATTTCAATTAGTTCCACGCAGCAAATGTTGAATAAGTTATCACTGGATGGGGCTCTTTCTTGCGAACTTCACTCTCAGGGCTGGTGGGCCAGTGAATGAAGGATTGGCCACACAAATGGAGACTCAAACTGGGACCTCCCCGCCCCCGACATCCCCCTAGTAAGCACACACCTGTAACCAGAGGGAAAACAGAGGTGTATCTCCTGGCCTTTGGCCAGCCAATCAACCCCAAAACTGTGAGCTTCAGGTTTAGTAAGATATCTTGCCTCAAACACTAAGGTGAGAGTGGCTGAACTCCTATTTCCATGCCCATACACATGGTTGAGTGTGTGT